AATCTCGTATCTTTGTTATTTCACACATGTGTGAATTGGGGTTTAGTATTAACTCTTAGAAGTGAAATTGCTGGCTAAAAGAACATATTCTTTTCTTAAATTTTGGTTGATAATGTCAAAATGTTATCAGGACTGAATTAATTTAGACTCCTGTCAGCATTGTCTGAATGAGTGCCTGTGTCTCACCCGAGCCTCCCAACTGAATGTTTCCAAACATTTGGTTGTTTTCACTTTCAATCTTTCTTTTCATAACCTCTGGATTTTGAGTCAAAGTTACAAAAGCCTTTTCGATCCAAAATTATAAAACATTTTTCCATGTTTTCTTCTAGTATTTTTATTCCTTTGGATTTTATCTTATTATAGAGTTGAGTAATGACAACAGGTTAATTTTTTTTCAAATGGCCACCTTGTTGTCCCTGCATTATTTATTAAAAAGTCCTTCTTCACTTTGATAGATTTGAGATGTCAGCTTTATTATACACTAAATTCCCATATGTCTTTGGATAAAATGTATTGTATATGGATGATGACAAAAATGGGGAAAATATATATAGCAGGGAAAAGGAATAGAGATACAAGAAAGTAAAATAGGAAAATCCTTGGTGAGAAGATGATATTTAAGTAAACACCTGAAAGAAGAGAGATGATTGAGGCAATGCAATGTGGTACTTTAAACAAGCTTTTTGGCCCTGGCCTGATATCAGATAGCTCAGTTGGTTAGAGTGTCATCCCAATATGCTAAGGTTGTGGGTTCAATCCCGACCAGGGCACATACAGGAATCAACCAATGAATGCATAAATGAGTACAACAACAAAGCAATCTCTCTCTCTCTCTCTCTCTCTCTCTCTCTCTCCCATCAATAAAAGAGCTTTTTGCCTCTAAAATCACTTGGGTATTGGGTCAAATAAATCCCAGTTCCATTCTAGGACCATAGGCAAGTTTGCATCAATTTATTAATCAGTAAACATGAAATTACAAATACTACATACTTTATGGGATCATTCTAAAAATTAAATTTCATCTTTTTAACTAGCTTAGCATTGAGCCTGACCCATAAAATTTGGTCATTTTTCTTATTATCACAGACGTTTGTCTTTCTCATTATACATTCCTGAAAGAATTCATGGCTTCAAAATATTCCATTGTGTGGTCATAGGTAAATCTCAAGTGTTAATATCCACGTGCTGCTTTATTTACCTACTAAAGGCCCGATGCACGAAAATTCGTGCCAAGAGTAGGCCTTCCTTCCCCCAGCTGCTAGCATAGGTTTCCCTCTGGCACCCGGGACCCAGGCTAGCTTCCCTTGGGCTGCCCGTAGGCACTCGGGACCCAGGCTGGCTTCCCTCCAGCCCCAGCTTGATCAGGAAGGATGTCCAGAATGAGATCCGGAAGGACATCCAGTCTTCTAATTAGCTTACCCTTTTATTATTATAAATTCCAGACTTTTTCATGGATCTTCAGCCTTACTCTTCCAGCACTGCCCTATAATCCTTTTTTTGGGGGGGGGGGGTATTTATTTATTTATTTAATCATTTTTTTATTTTTACTTTCAGTTGACCTACATTATTATATTAGCTTCAGGTGTATACCTCAGTGACAAGACTTAATTACTTATTACATAACTTAATAAGTGATCACCCCAATAAATCCCTCACCCATCCAGCACCATGCCTAGTTATTAGAATATTATTGTACCCTATAATGCTTTTTTAAAACTTTTTAACCTTGAAATTCTTGAAGATTCACATCGTTGGTGTTTGGCTGATGCAGAGCAGTTATTGTGTGAGAGCTTTGTGTTTCTAGACTGGCCCTTTGGTTGAGAGAGTGGCTTTTTGAGAGGATTTTTTGGTCAGTGCCCACTGGTATTTTCAGGTAGCCAGCCTCTTTAATTCCAAGTCTAGGACGTATGAGGCCAAAAGGAACCCTGGGGAATTCACGCCGTGTTGTTCTTCAGGTCCCAGCTGGTCTGCTTCTCCTCTCCACCCTTCAGAAGCCTTTATGTTTGTTTTCTATCTAATGTCGAGAATTTTCCATTGTGGGGAATAGAAGGATGAGGGAACGTGTATATTCTCCATCTTCCTGGAAGAAGAATTCTTAATGTTCTTTGTTAAAAGGCAGTCTGAGAAGAAAAGCAGGGCTCAAGTTCAAGCTTAATTTCAATTTGAAAAATAATAGAACTCTCCCTCAGAAAGAGGCCCCTGTAAGCAAACCACCTCCTTGCACTGAGTGCCTGTTCATCCTCAGTTGCTGTCCAAGCCCTGAGACGTTGCTGCACCTGGAGTCAGAGGTGAAAAGGACTCCCAGGGACACGCCTTCAGGTGGAAACTCCCGGGGCAGACAGGAAGGCTGGGGGGCTCCTCTCTTCCTGAGTTCTGTGGAGCTGCATCCCCCCTCAGAGTCCCTTTCCTCCGTGAAGAAGTACTAAGGGTCCCCTCTCCCTTGCTCAGAGGAGACCCATCATGGCAGGTTTTCCCTGATAATAACCTTGTCCATGCGGATCCAACCTGGTCCATGTGGACCCAACCTGGTCCATGTGACCCAACCTGGTCCATGCAGATCACCTGACATTCTACCAATTCATTTCCTTTTCAGTTGATTTTGCTGTATTTCATGTTATTTCCAAGAAGTTCGATAAATGTTCCCTTGTGTTTAGTCCTGGGAGCAGGGTGACTGAGACTCAGATCCTTCCATCCCCCGTAAGCACTGGAGCCCAGCCGATGGGCTGTGAGACTGGAGTGGCTCAGAGCAGCTGGCCCAGCCTAGGAGTCAGGGACCTTCCAGAATAGCTGCCTCCCCCACATCCCCACACACAGCCTCTTAAAGAAGCCTGTTCCTCGTCTTTTTTTTTATTGCTTAAAGTATTACAAAGGGTATTACATATGTGTCCTTTTTTTTTCTTCCCCGCCCTTGACAATCCCCTGGTCCCCCCTACCCCCCAGTGTCTTATGTCCATTGGTTATGCTTATATGCATGCATACAAGTCCTTCGGTTGATCTTTTACCCCCCTCTCTCCTGCCCCCCAACCCTCCCTGGTCTTCCCACTGCAGTTTGACAATCAGTTTGAGGCAGCTCTGCCTCTGTATCTATTATTGTTCAAAAGTTTGTAATGGTCTTTATTATCCATGAATGAGTGAGATCATGTGGTATTTTTCCTTCATCGACTGGCTTATTTCACTTAGCATAATGCTCTCCAGTTCCATCCATGCCGTTGCAAATGGTAAGAGTTCCTCGTCTTTAGTTTCTCCCTTGCAGTCCTCACTGCCTGAGTCATATGTCACATTTGCTGATTTATTTGTTTTGCGGGACTTTATCCACCTCCAGGCCAAGCTCCCCTCTCTGAGTCCACATTCCCCAGGCACTGCCCTGCCTGTCCTGGATGTGTTCCATATATCACCTGCCACCCCTGCCAATGAACCAAACAGCTTTTCAGACCCAAAGTCATACCTGGTGAAATTTTCCTTTTTTGTGTGAGAATATAAAGTTATAAAATGTCCACACTTCTTGACCCAGAAATTTTACTTCTGGGAATTTACTCAAAGGAAATGTAGATACACATGATTGATTAAAACCACTGTTTATAACATCCTAGATGTAAAACCATAAGTACCCATCAATAAGGATATGAGACAGTAAATAATGTCACAACCAGACAATAGAATAGCACATGAGACATGAAGGATGATACAGATCTAAATGTATTGCAATGGAAAGGTGTTTGTGCTATTTTATTACGTGGGGAAAAAATGAGTTGATACAGGTAGCCCCATCCCATTGATATAAAATTTATTTACATCCATTCATCTATTAAGTAGTCAAATGGTCCATATGTATTGAATGCCTGCTGTGGCCCTCCCTGCCCTAGATATTAAAGAAACAGCAGTGAGCAAAGTCAATGTAACCCCTGTCTTTGTCGAGCTTCCAGTCTCGTGGGAATAGGAAGAACAGGATAGATACCGAGTAAAGAAAGGAAAATGTTGTCATAGCTAAGACAGAAAAGGGCAAGGGACAGTCTTAGAACAGTGGGGGAGGGAGGATTGGGGAGGTGACTTAAGACTTGAAGGATGAATGGAAATTATGCATGGGCAGACAGAGAGGGACAATGTTCCAGATAGAAAGCCTTGAGGTTGGAACTAGCTTCCGGTATGTTTGAGAAACTCAAAGAAAGGTGGCGGGAGAGAGTGGAGTGAAGGAGAGAGTGCCACCCAGAGCCTGGAGATGAGGACATGGGCCAGACCGTGTAAGACATGGGAGCCCCTGATTCCATGGGCCATAGGAAGCCTTTGGAGGGCGGGAAGGAGTGGGAGGCTGGGGTTTGCTGAGTCAGTAATTGAA